CACATGAACAATTCACAGACACATTTAATTTGGCATTATTGGGTATATTAGTTGGAGCATAGCTATTGAACCGTGTCAAGGCCTCCACCGTCGTCAGATTCGCATAGTAAGTCTGCGCAACCTTGTCGTACGTGTCCCCGGAAAAGACATCGTACTCGAACATATGGCCAAGAAATTGTCCATTTACGCATTCACAGTTAAAAGGAATATTGATCCTTGTACCAGCTAAAACACTGTCTGTGTTGGGCACCGTGCCAGGGTTGTAGTTAACGATTGTATCTATGCCCGTCTTCATTAACTGGCTGATATATGTGAGATTGAAGCCCGACGATACGTAGTACTTAGCTAAAGCCAAACCGCAGCTTCTGCTGCACTGGGATTTCACTGTGAAACAAAGCGAGAGGAGCACCAAGAACCCCAACCCAATTCGAAATCTCATCGTCGATCCAAAAATCAAAACCCAAGTCACAGAAAACCGAATTCGAGAACTGGGTTTCTGGTTTCAGATCGAAAAAGAACAGGAACAGAGAGAAAGATGAATGCTTTGGGGGGGTTTTGGACCGTTGACTGATTCTTCGATTATTTTTCTGTGTCTGTGATTATGCCTTGCTGGGTTTTTTTGTACTTTTGATTGGATTAGCTGCTGGGAATGATTAGGCAGATTTTTTATAATAAATTAATAATTTGTAGAATAATTTGTGTTTCGTTGTCGTACTTAGCGTCTGTGACCGCCTAACAGTAAAAATAAAACCTTCCCGCGGTTTTGAGTTGACTGTTTCTAGAGAGAGTGACTCAGTCAGCGAAAGTAGGGAGGGAACATTCTCCACCGATTTTACTGCGACGGCGGTCCAATAAGAGCTTCCTACGACATTCTGGGCCTTGTCGTTTACTAAAGAATCCTCAATAACATTGTCGCACAATTCTAGATCTTGCAGTTTTCATTTTAAGGTTAACTTTTTATATTATTAGATTTCAAAAACCAGCCATGTTTTTCCCTTTACTATATAAAACATTCACTCACTCGTCAAAAGTGCGTAGAAGCTAGGTAAGTGATGAATCTATGAATTTAAACTACATATAATATTCCTCTTATAATAAGGTAATTTTGTAGGTTATAACGGTTTTTTGTTTCTCTTTTTTTAATACAAGTAATATTGGGTAGGGGAAATCGAATTTAGAATATCGGATACAGGGTAAATGCTCTTAATAATTTGAACTCAAAGCTACTTGTGTACGCCCTATAATCTAAGTACACTCGAATATTTAAATTAAAATATATAATTAATTAAGTACGTCATATTTAACTATCAAAAATATTTATGGTACGCCCTAATACACTCTATCACACAACACCAAATCCATTTAAGAGTTCAATATAAAAGTTGTTGGGTAAAACACTTCCTCGTCACAATTTTTTTCCTCAATCCAGCAATCTTAAGATCAAGTTCACCATTCTTATCAACACGAGCTTTGAAATACCTCAGTCTGTCCCCAAGTTTAACCTTTAGCATAAACCAGTGACTTGTTAGAAACCAGATAAATACAGAACATAACTTCAAAGATCAAAACTTCTGACTTATTCAATATGACCAACAAAAAGTGTACAAATTGATTTTTATTTTATTTTTAAATTAAAAAAACTGTCTACAGATTCTATAAGGGCAAACAATTTATTTTCAAAATTTGACCCACCTCTAACTAAACTAATCAGATTTAGTCAGATCAACCCTTTTCACTATTGAAAAAGATGAAGTCTTTCCCAAAAAGAAACAGTTAGTTAATCTGAGATGCCAAGGAATATTCAAAATCATCAATCTATTCAACAAAGTTAATACCTCTTTTGATGACTCTCTCAACACGTCTGAAGCATCCATGAGACTTGTTTGCATCAATGAATTACTAAATAACGATGAAACAAATTGTTGGAGTTAATACTAAGGTTTTTGAAAGTAAGAATTTTTGCTGAGGTTTGATTAGGGTTCAATATGGTGAGTGGGGTGTATTTATTAAAATTACATTTGTTTCAAAATTTAATATATCATTTTTGGTCATTTTATATTAGAATAAAATAATAATTCAATAAATAGTTTAGTAGTATGATGTACTCAGTTAATTTTAAGATTCGTTTAACAGCACCTTAAAATAACTACATTATACAACTTTCAGCCACAAATTGTATTTAAATATACATAGTTAAATTGCGTATGCAACTCAAATACTGAAATGGGCCCTAAGAGTGACCTTTGGTTAAAGTTTTGAGAGCACCTAATTTGTTGGGATTTTGGGTTGAAAACAGGTTTAAAAATTGTGGAGTTTATGCCGTATTGTCAAACTTGAGAGGCGCTTTGTGGCTGGAGGTCAATTTTTGGAGCCCACCAGTAAAGACTAGGCTTCAAACATAATAATAATTTGTGGACAAACTAGACCCGCAACCAAGTCATGGAGAAATTTTTATATGTTCCGGGTACACCAGACAGGTATACCAGATAGGGTCCAGCCTACCAATCAACTCCGCCTGCACAATTTGTTCATTTGCTACCAAACTTTAAGTAACAAATTTGGTATTTACCATGCACATAAGTATTACAGTATTATTTAAAAAGTAATTGAGAGTTTTTCAAAAAGCGTTGAAAATTACAGTTTGTCACACTGCTATTAACAGAAATGCAAAAGTTTCAACTAAAATAATAACGAGGGAAGTATTTTCATAAGCGAAAGACAGCGAGACAATTAGTGGATGATGTGGATGTTTGTAAATTGTAGTTGAACTAGTTGTACAGCAGCAGAATAGTCAAATTTGGCTCGGCTCGGCTCAAGTGAGCCAAACGCAAATAGCCTTTCCAAGACCGGCGTCGACGTTGATCGTTGACCGTTAACCCATACTGTTTAATTGATAACGAAAAGAAAATTAGAATTTCAATCAAGTCAAATAGGCCGAACAGGCTGCTCATTTGTTATGGTTGTTAGTTATAGTAAATTTTCACTTTTTAGGGTCCAAAGGGACTGCTTATGGGCCCGGATCCGAAAAGCAACATGGGCTCAGAGTCTCGGACCCAATAGTGAGTTTTGGTGGATTTTTTACCACCAAAGTGTGCCTCAATGAGATTTCTTCTTTTTTCTTCTTTTGTCTGTCTGTATGTTTCTTTCTCAATGAAACTTGCATTTGACTCATTATTTCCATGCAAACTGTTCGTAGAGAAATTATTGAATATATATAATCGATACATTATGATGCAATGGGTTGGATCAATACTATAACCAAATATATATATAATATAAGCGAAAACAACCGAATATAGCGTGTTGAGAATATCTCACATCGATTAATAGAAACTCGCATTTTAATATGATATCATAATAGAGTATTCATGTAGCAGCAGCTCGGAAAATTATTCTCACTTAAGATATGCTGGCACCCATTGAGAAACTATGAAATAGATGTTGGTAATGCAGTGGCTAGTAGTGTCTGCCATTATATGAAAATAAGATTGACCTTGTTTTATACATGGGAAATAAATGTTTTACCCTTTCTCACCATTTTTATGAAACGAAAAATTTCCTGGATCCAGCAAGTGTCCTAAACCTGCAGCAGAGGATTTGTAAAATGGTTGACTACTAATAGCAGGCCCTCTCAACCGGAGCTATATTTTGAAAAAAAACTTCAGACAACAGAAGGTGGTGGAAGAAAGCAAAGTCACTCAAGTGATTTTGACTTTGAGACAAAATTAGTAAAAGATGCCTTTATAGTCTCTTGGATTTGATGTCATACCCAACCTTATTACACAACAACATCTCGACTTTTTCCATATTTTCTCAGTGCTAAATTAAAATAACATATAAACACTACATTTCCTTTTGTTCTTCCTATTTTTGTCCTTTTTTTGGTCAAGAAATTCTTTTTGTTCTGTGCTTATGCAACCAAAACCCTAATCACGTATTGTTGAGTTTGAAGGCCACAAACATGTGTCCGTGCCACGCAGTGGCGTCGTTCCACTAAAGCTTTCCTTTTTTGTTTAAACAGATGTCGTTTTGGCTCAGATTATATACATAAGGAAGAGGTTAACTACATAAAAGTATATAATCTTTGAGAGTCATTTCAAATGTGTGATCCCTCCTGAAATAATATGCAATTTGCAACTTCTTTATTGAATAACATGCAATTTGTAACTTGCAATTCTTTGTTGAAATGTGTGAACCCTGTCAGCCTAAGGATTGCACATTTCCACAAAAGCTACTATGTTTTGCTGAATCTTCTACCCGAGAACTCTTGGCACTTGAAGATGAACTTGATATGTATATTCATCATATGCGGACGAGGAACAATTTTTCTCAATTGCAAAAGATTTGTAGTCTTGCAAGAAAAATGGTGAAGAAAAGGTTGTATAGAACATTTAATTATGTCTATTTGCTTGTGACATTAGCCTTAACTTTACTTGTTGCAACTGCTTCGGTGGAGAAAGTATTTTCTGCCATGAATATTATGAAAAGTTCACTTTGCAATCGAATGGAGGATGAATGATTGAGTGATAGCTTACTTGTTTATATTGAGAATGATTTGTTTGCTTGTATTGATAATGAAACTATAATGCGATGTTTTCAAAATATAAAAACTCATTATTGACAATTGTAGTTCGTAATTATAAATTTCATTTTTTCTTACACACAGTCCGATGCTGTTCAGTTTTTATATAAAGTGTCTATAATTCTCACTAAGAGCTCCCTACGACATTCTCGTCCTTGTCATTTATTAAAGAATTCTCACAAAACATTGTCGTACAATTACGGATCTTGCAGTTTTTAAGGTTACTGTTTTTATAAATACAAATGATACTAGGAAGGGGGGAAGGGGTTTCTCACGCACACTATTTAGTTTGCTTTAAATACCCCTCCCATGTAATTCATTATGATTCATGAAGATAGAGGTTTTTTTTTTGGTTTGACAGATATGAGAGTTGAGTTATTGAGTTAAAGTTTATTTTCCAGTGATTGGAATTTTGGTGTGAAGCCAAGGCATCTTTATCCATCTATTTTCTGTTTTTTCATTGTTTTTGCTTCTGCTAATCTACCTAAATCTACAATTCACCCATATCCTATATCAATATCTCATATTGAGTATGTTCAAACAAAAGAAACTTCCTAATGCTAAACACAACATTGCACTTGTAGATTCTAACTTCCCGACATCAGATGGACGCTTGACGCTTGACTCTCTCTTTCACAGAAGGATCCAACATCCAAATCCTCAGTTGAGGATGAGAGCGCTTGATTTTCATTCAAGGATCCAACATCCCAATCCTCAGTTGAGGATGAGAGCGTCATCAAGGTGACCACAATAGATTGCATACTTGGACGCAGTTCTTTGTTCTCACGCGTACATGCTTTGGCAAGTTGAGCCATCTGCACCAGAAAATCACCATAACTATTTTTACACCAATATGTAGAGATAAATTATAATGTTTTGTTCTTCTGAGAAATTATTTCACCTCGCGAACTGAGTCAAGTGGATAGTTGTCTCCAAGACCAGGGTCAACCAATTTCCAGAGGTCTTCTTTAGGATCAGGTTGATTAAGGACCTCCTCGAACTGTAAAAAGAAAAATTACAATAAAAGTATGCTAATGTGCTTTCGTGCATTGCCAGATAGAAACCCAACATAAACTTGAAAAGAGCTAAAGAGATGGCAAGAAAACTAACCAAACCAACAAGGCCTCTTGATTCAGAGTCAGAACTATCTGCCCTTACAACAGCTTGCTTGGCAGAGATCAATTCGTAAATGACAACTCCGAAAGCATAAACATCTACTTTCGGAGAAACTTCGCCACATTGAGCATATCTGTACGCAAGCATGTTAGGAGTTAAACCCACATTTACACAGACTATAGCAGAACTTAAGTTTTCCTTTTCGCTCCTCTTAAGAGGAGTTTACTGCATGAGCTTACCGCATAACATCGAATACGAAACACATCAAAATACCCACTTGTAAGGGAAACGAATTGGGCAGGAAGAACAGAACCCTTCCTACTATTCCAGCAGGAAACCCAGATATAAATAAATATAGCAGCACCTAAAGACCTATCTCTGACAAAAGCTAGCAGGGGCAAACTAAAGACCTCTAATGACTATCGACAAAGTAGAACTCAGTCCCAGAATATCACTCTGGATATTTATCTGAATTTAGATATGTCTACTAAAAAAGTGCACAATATTTAGGCCCCTTCAGCCATCGGCTTACAGGTCAGGGGATGATGGCAGGAAAAAGAATCAGAATGGCTCCTTCCAGCAGATTTGGTTCCCCCAAATTGCAACAAAGGCAATCTGTTCTTGCTAAAAATTTGCTAGAGATGTAGCAAATAATGTAACAGAAAAATAGAAAAATATCTTACTCTGGCGGCATGTATCCAAATGTTCCCACAAGATGTGTGGGGAGTGATGTACTTCCAACCTCAATCAGTTTAGCTAATCCAAAATCTGCAACCTGAAATAAAAGAGGAAATCTCATTGCAACAATGTGAACAAGCTTTGAAAAGTTCGTAATGGAAATAGAGGCACTAAAGTAACCTTGGCATGGAAATTCTTGTCTATCAATATATTGGCTGATTTTATATCCCGGTGGATATAAACAGGAACAGTATGCTCATGAATGTATTCAAGACCTCTTGCTGAATCTAGGGCAATCTGCACTCTATTAGACCACGGTAGCGGGTCCCTCCCTGGAAAAAAATTAAACGGTATTATTACCATTCTCCTGCATACAGAAGCACTAAGAAGCACTTAAATCCCCATCATGCACAGCCTAACCTGAACCACGCAGATGTTGGCTTAAGTTTCCATTCTCAACGTATTCATAGACTAGGAAAAGAGAGCCCTCAACGCAATAACCAATCAAGCGCACCTACATTAATTGTCTAGAAGATTAGAGAAAAATCACATGTCTTAGAGATCCGTTATGCAACAGCTACAAGTACTGTAGTACTAGTATATGCAAAATTTGAGTTAGGTATAATTAACAAAACACATAGCATTGCAGCATTTATATACTACAGCACTTATCTCATAAGATCCTTTTGCCTAGTTCAGCTATCTTTCCAGTACTTACATCTCTGATCACATACTTAACCTCTGATTCCTGAGCCACTAGGCCATACTTGCAACCAGATAAGAGTTTGTTGGTTTACCTAGTCTCAACCACTAGTCCCAAAAACTTAAGTTGTTATGATGTGATGTGGAATTCAACTTATATTGGGAGATTGGAGATAAAAAGATTAAAGGAGATTCTTTTTAAAATATATAAAAAATAGACATACAAAATTTCTTCAAGTTAATTCCAGCAATTCTTTCAAAAATATGTTAAGCAAATATGCGGATTAAAATTGCTAATGAAAAGGAAACACCAATTACTTCGTAATTATTTTTCAAGATTCATGTACATTGTCATTTTTTGGAAAGATAAGGTCATTACCAGATTAGAATGATGTACACGAGTTAAAACATTTAATTCGGCAAGAAATTCTTTTGATGCTTGCGTATCCATCTTCTTGATTGCAGCTTTCTGCAAAGAGAGTGAAATAAAAAATTGCGACATAAACAAAACATGGTCTACAGATGATAATTTAGAAAAGTAAGCGAAGAGAGAGGAATTGAAGAATTGCACAATGGTTTTATGTATATTGCTGTCAATATATACAAGTCTGACTGATTACATGGGTACCAAAAAGGGAATGTAAATATACATATTGCTGTCAAATAAAATTACATGATGGATTATAGGGATTGAATAGGCAACAATCATGTAGCAGCAGATTCAGTCGATGGTTGACTTGCGGGATTGGCTTGATGAGCGGATGACTAAAAAATTGCCTTGGACTAGAAAATTCATTGCAGACGGAAATGTTTTATTTGGGCAAAAAATAAATAAAGGTTTCCCTTCCCTTCCCTTCCCTCTATCCTTTGTCCATTTCCATCCAACTAAATGCGAAAAACACCATCCAACTTGAGAAAATTTTCTTTTACAATCCACGTATGATACTCGAAAATATTAAAGGAAACAAACCTCGCCTCTCAGCTCTGCATAGTAAACAGCTCCGAAACCTCCTTGTCCAATCTTATTAGCCAGACTGAAGTTATCAGTAGCCCTGGCAAGTTCTTCATATGAGTACTCCACTGATTTGTGCACTTTAATGCCTGTTAGGACACGAGCAGCACCATTTGATTCTTCAGGCTTATCTGTGATAATCCCAAAAAGAAAAAATCAATCAAGTCATGTCCAATATCCATTTGGTGCCAAAACCATGGAGCGTATGAGGGCAGCAACTAGTAAAATAAAATGAATTTTCAGTTCCAAGAGCAAATTTGCACAATACTTAGTAGATATAGGTCAGTGGTATTGATATTAGACAAAGAAAAGTTTCCGATTTGTTCAACAAAAAATGAACCACTAACAAGACTAAATGAATGCAACTCTAACTGGTGTTTCTGCAAAGAGTCAAAGTTAAAAATGATACTTGATGACGCCAAAAAGATCTTTGAAGGACACTTCCATTCACAAATATCTTGATAAAATATACAAGGAGAGGAGTAGGTAACATACAACGCCAGTTCTTTCGGTAAAATCCAAAACATGCAACACCAGCCAACAACAGAACTCCAGCAATTGCTGCCACAATTATGCCAGCAATGACTCCGCCTGCTAGTCCTACTTATACAAAAGAAAAATATGAGCTCCAAGTAGCATTGAGATTTCTGACCAAACCCTCGCACGTTGGCATATGAACATGAAACCAATTTTTGGAGAAGACCATACCTTTTGAGCTGCAAAATGGATAGAAAGATCAAAGTCAGAAATATTAACAATTTTCAGTTAACATGTTGAGGTGTTGAAGCTACCTTGACTTCAGAGGCCGATAGCTTCCATTTGGATCTGCAAGATAAAAAAGAAACAAGACCTTATGTGAGGGAAGTTGATATTTTAGCCCTCTACAAAACTATATTGAAATTGGAGTAATGCAACTAACTATTCGTGACAATGTATTTATTACCATTTGGGCCACGGGCCACCCTGAAAAAACTCAATGTTTTCACTAGCATTTTGACACATGCATCAATGAATCATGGATAATGGATTAATGATACAAAGAGGATGATAATTAAGCTAAAAACCTTGTCATTAATATTAATCATTAATGACTATCTTAGAACAAGACAGTTATTGTTTTATTGTAATCTTGACCAGTTCAATACATCAGCCAAGATGCCCACCTGGTCCATAGCCAAAGGAAGGCATTATACCAACTAGCACTTTACCAAACATTATTCACAGAGGGAAACAAAGAAACTATCTGGTTTGTACCGGTAACCTGAAAAACTCTGTAAAAATCACACTATATTTCTTAAGTCCACCCCAAATTTTTTCCTGTTGGATTTCGGTCTGGCAATTGACATTTTCCTTTTTCCTAAATTTCTGGCTATCACTCCCTAAAGGAGACCTTTCTAATCAATTGTACGCAACCTTTCCTTCTGATGGCATCAACCTAAAGGAGGGAAGGGATTGCCGTGAGTGGGGTGGGTCATGGGTGTCTGGTGACAGGTTTGTGGTTTTAGTGCTGTACTCATGAACATTTGAAATATGAGTCAAGGCATCTTAATTTAGTAATAAAATTCAAACACATGCATTCCTAAAACGTCTATTCAAATGTCTGAATCAAAACTCTACAGTTCAAAACACAAGCAAGAACCTTTCAAATCAAGAACAAAAACTCGTACCTTTGCCAGGAATATACACGAAACCACTCCCTTGGCTAAAATTCACACCAGGGTTATACCTCTGCAACAAAGTCTCATCCAGCTGCACATTCTGCGCAATCGAAGCCAAAGTCTCCCCCGGCCGAAGTGGGTACGTGATAAACAGACCATAGTCCTCAGAAACCGCGCTATTCCCACATGAACAATTCACAGACACGTTTAATAATTGGTAATCGGGTATATTAGTTGGAGAATAGCTATTGAACCATTCCATGGCCTCAACCGTCGTCAAATTTGAAAAGTAAATCTCCGCAACCGTGTGGTACGTGTCCCCTGAATTGACATCGTACTCGAACATATACCCAAGAAAGTTACCATTTACACATTCACATGAGAAAGGAATATTGACCCTACCAACTTGAACACTCTCTCGGTTGGGCACCACGTCTTTGTTGTAGCTAGCGATGGTCAAACCGCTCGTCTCCATAACCCGGGCGATGAATGAGAGATTGCTGCCCGGCCATACGAAGTAAGAAGCTAAAGCCAAATCGCAGCTTCTGATGCACTGGGATTTCACTGTGAAACAAAGCGAGAGGAGCACCAAGAACCCCAGCCCAATTCGAAATCTCATCTGGACGATCCAAAAAAAACAAAACCCAAGTCACAGAAAACCAAATTCGAGAACTGGGTTTCTGGTTTCGGATCGAAGTCGAACAGGAACAGAGAGTGATGAGGCAGATAATTTTCAAATAAATTAATAAATTCTGGAATAATTAGTGTTTCGTTGTCGTACTTAGCGTCTGTGATCGCCTGACAGTAAAGTGAAAACCTTCTCGCGGTTTTGAGTTGATGGTTTCTGGAGAGAGTGACTCAGTCAGCGACGGTAGGGAACATTTCCCCCCAGTTTACTGCGACGGCTGTCCAACAAGAGCTTCGTACGACATTCTGGGCCCTTTTGTTTATTACGGAATTCTCGATAAAATTGTACATCTTGCAGTTTTTAAGGCGAACTTTTAGGCATGTGAATGAATGCCAACTGAACTTTCTTTTTAGGCAGTGCAGCATGATTACTACTGTACTTCTAATTTTTATTATTAATCACATAAATTATATAAAATATTACAATTTACCACTTAGCTTAATTCTGTTAAAATTTCCGTTAAATCAAGTCACATA